CGAGGGTTCTTGGCCCTTCAGCACAAATGTGTTCCCGCTGCAGTGTTGGCCACATTTCAACATCGACGGTGTTCCCCCTTCGTTCAGAATGGCGCTCTCGCCATAGCGCGGGCCACACTTCGAGACACGATTCCTTCCTTGCCGATGTCGTCCCCCTCGTTTCCCCTACTCCGCCTTCCCATGGTCTTCCTGCTCCTCCTGCCCTCTGCTCCTGCTGCCGAACTCCTCCTCCCTGTAGATCACTCCTCCCTGTCGCACCCCAGGGCTGGTCGGAAGGGCCAACTGGGCGTTGCGCCTGAGACTTCCCTACCATTTGTGGCCCTGAAGCCCCAACATTGGTATTGGCTCATAGACGGAAGGCGGGTGGCTTCCAGAGTGTAGCTCTCGCCGTAGTGCCGCGCACAATCCCTCGAGACAGTTGCACAAGTTTCGCAGATTGAGGGCGAGTGGCTTTCAAGATGCGGTTCGCGCTCACGCGCCGCGCAGCCTCGCTTTACAATTTGCAAAGAGTCTCACGTATTGAAGACAGGTCGTTTCAAAGTGTCGTTCTCGACTTAGCGTCATCGGCCTGACCTAAGGAACGATAAATAAGGAACGAAGCCCCTTATTTTTCCAAGGAGTAACGCAGAAGGGACGATATATAACAAATAACCATGAAGGAATTATGAGTAACGCATGCAAGCCTAAGGAACGACCGAGCCCCTTTTGACCAGGAAGTGTTCCTTATTCAAGCCACTCACTGTAGCGCCGCGCGCATGCTTTTCAAACATGCGCGAGAGCTTCATGGATGGAGGGCGGTTCCTTCTCACAGTGTAGCCCTCACTTCAACGCCGCGCATACAGTCATCGGCCTGACCTAAGGAACGATAAATAAGGAACGAAGCCCCCTTTGTCATCCCAACGAATAACGCATAAGGAACGATGAATAACAAATAACGCATAAGGAACTGTACATAACGCATGGGAGCCTAAGGAACGCCCGAGCCCCTTTTGAAAAGTAAGTGTTCCTTATTCAAGCCGCTCACTGTTCTCGCTTCTGGCATGTACAGAACCGACGACGGCGTTTTTTTGCTAGAATTGACCAACGTCTGCGCTGCTGGAGGTTGCCAAAGTCCACGTCCAGACGTCCAGCCGCGAGGACGCGCGGCACTGAATTATTATTATTATAACAATCATCATCATCAAGATCGTAAATACGATTCTTGGTTGCGCGCTAACGCCTTGACCTTGGCCGGACATTCATGCAACCATGCCAACGATCAATTGCTGAATGCCCAATTATAATCGCTTGGTTAGTAGCATTCTTCGCCATGCTTGTAAATCTTCTCCTCTGGAAAAGTAGGTAACCACTGGGCCTTGTCGCTAAAAGTTCGGATCTGGCCGATCTCCGGAACGCAGTAGGTGATCTTCTTCCCACCTCGGCAGGCGAGCTCCGTGTCGTTGCGTCGATCGCACCCGCCGAGCGGATCGTATATCGTCTGGTTCGGGTTGAAATAGGACAGCGCCACCTCGAACGTGGAGTAAGTGCTGTAGACTAAGTGCTTGGCGTGCATCAGGGTACAGGCATCCTCCGCAAGAGTTTCTGACGACTGCACCGTGACTTTCATGCCCTTCTGCTTGAAATACTCCAGGCACGGATGTTTGAAGTCTGGCTCTGTGACAACGCGAACCTGTTGGAATCCGTTGTTCTGGCCAGCTACCATCTGAAAGAATGAACATGGTGCAACATGTTTCGATGGCTGCAACAGTTGATCGCCATATCTGAGGTGAATCACAAGTTCGCGCGCGCGGATAGACGCCTCTGCATTACATACCGCGCGACCTTCACTTACCAAATATGGCAAAACATACGTTCGCAGAGCCTCCGTGTAGTCGGCCCGCATCACGCCAACACACCTAACACTGTAATACGCCGAGTGCAGCAGCAGTCCATCGAACCTGCTGCAATTGAACCTGGCCCGAAAATCACGGTCAGACTCCACGTTGGGAATCTCTGGCAATGCAAACACCTTCCGCATCGGTCCCTCATCCTGTATGGTCACTCGCAAGGCTCCGGATGCTTTCGCTACGAATACAGCGTGTGCCACTTGAAATAAATTATTTCCTAGGCGCCCATACCATCTAGATACCACAATGTCGCCATCAACCGTTTGTCGCAAATAAGGCTTCTCACCGGCCTCCTCATCACAAGTGTTCCATTGGCCAGAAGGCATTACAAAACTAACGCAAATCTCTGTCGTGGCGGAGCGAACACTCTCCGCACCCTCAAACGGAATACTCGCAACGCTGATAGCGCCAGCTCCTGCTGCGAACACCGAAAAATATAAACAAAAAACAACCTTTGAAACATGTTCACAATCCGATGGGAATGTTCCGCGTCGCAGTGCGGTAGAAGCATACAATATGATTGTCCTTTCAGTCTTTGCCACTTGAACCAAAATGGTTACGGGAACTGACGACGGTGTTTTGGATCGATGTACGATCGTCAGGGCGTAACGAAAACATTGCTTTGCGGTGTTGAGGCTCCAGGAACGGCGTTCTGGCATTATTCAGGATCATCAAATCGCAACAGTAAGGTTGCCTCGTGGCATTGACATCGTTGGTGCTCTGACACGGTTCAGGATTTTCAAAAGGTTGTCTCCCAACGGGGCATTTTCCCTACTAAAATGGATCCGTCTAGGGGCCTACGAAGAGGGAGCTTGGAGGGATGGTGTACTACAACATCGATGAAGAGTCTTGGGTTTAAACTGGTACGCCTGCTCTTCCCTCATAATCCTCCTCTTCCTCCTGCTAGTTTTCTGGCTCATCCGCCACGTCCTCCTCCAATGCACAAAGCACACCCTTGTGCGAGTGTGCGCATTAGGGTCCTTTCGGGGATTGATCCACGTCCTCCAGAACACCTCAGTCGGCGGATACTAAAATACTCAAGCAATGAGAAGAGATGTTTTGGCGGGGTGGGATGTCTGAGATGACGCGAGCGCACCTAGCTTGTCATCCTCCTCGCTTCTGCTCCACATCTTTTTCTTGCGTGCCGAATCCGCGCCGCTGCTTGTTCGACGATGGCCGCGAACGCGACTCAACAGTCAGGCCGCGGCGCGGTATGAGCGCGCAGGCTGGAGGCAGACAATTGGTGAGAACACGCAAGGACGCTGTACATAGAGCTGGGTGTAAACATGAAGAGGGGACTAAGAGTCTAGCTCCTGACATGACACTTCGGGAGGCTACCATCGGCCTCCACCACCATGAGCACCATCATCATCAGCAGCATCATCAACAGCTTCATCCCAATCACCATCACACCCACCTCCATCATCATGATGATCATCATCAGCATCGTCATCATCCTAATGTTCATCCTCATCCTCATCATCATTATCAGAATCACCGCCATCATCATCATCATCATCATCATCATCATCATCATCATCATCATCATCATCATCATCATCGTTAACTCCATCATCATCATCAGCATCATCACCATCACCATCACCATCATCATCATCATCATCATCATCATCATCATCATCATCATCATCATCATCATCATCATCATCATCTTCATGATCATCATCATCATCATCATCACCATCATCATCATCATCATCATCAACAACATCACCATGATATCCATCAAGCTCGTTCTCCCCTTCAATTTCTCATTCTCCTCTCCATCCTCATACTTATCAAAATGAGTTGCTTTTCCTTGTAGATAACTCCTCCCTGTGGCACCCCGAGGCCGGTCGAAAGGGCGGGCCGAGCGATTCGCCTGAGACTTCCTCACCACGTATGGACCCTGAAGCGAAAAAAAATGCAACGGTTTCACACATGGACGGCGGGTCGCTTCCACAATGTGGCTGCCGCCTAAGCGACGCGCACTGTCGTTTGAAACATTGTAAAGACTTTACGGTTTGAGGGCGGGCAATCTTTAAAATGTGGCTCTCGGCTTAGCGCCGCGCGCATTCGCTTTAAACATGTACAAGAGTTTCACTGATTGACGGCGGTTCGTTTTCAAAATGTTGATCTCGCCGTCGCGCCGCGTACACTCGTCTCAAACATGTGTACGAGCTCCACGGATTGAGGGCGGGCAGTTTCAAAATGTGGTTCTCGCCTTAGCGCCGCGCATATCCGTCTTCAGCAGTTGCAAGAGTTTCACGCGTTTGCATGGTCAGCGTACCAGATGTGTTGGAAGGACTTAGGACTGTGAGGGCGCAACAATTACGTTGATTCCGTGCTGTTGAAGTCCCAAGAACGGTCTTCTGGCAATATTCAAGATCGCCAAGACGCAACAATCAATTTGATCAGTGGCGTTGAGGTCCCGAGAATGGTGTGTTGGATTGCTTCAGGGTCTTTAAACGGTTGTCTCCCAACGAGGCAGTTCTGTGTGGAAACGAGCCCCTGTAGGGGCATATGAGGGAGCTTGGAGGGAGGGTGATTCCAATATCGATGGTGATTATTATGTTCACACCGGACCTCCTCCTCTTGGTCCTTCTCTTCCTCCTCCTCCTCATCATCATCAACACCATCATCAGCATCATAATTAATTCCATCATTGCCATCATTATCAGCAGCATCATGATCAGAATCATCATCATCATTATTATTAGTATCATCATCATCATCATCATCATCACCATCATCATCATCAGCATCATCAGCATCATCATAATCAACATCATCTTCATAATCATCATCATCATCATCCTCCTCCTCCTCCTCCTCATCATCATCATCATCATCATCATTATCATAATCATCATCATCATCATCATCATCATCCTCATCCTCATCATCATCATCATCCTCATCATCATCATCATCATCCTCATCCTCATCCTCATCCTCATCCTCATCCTCATCATCATCATCATCATCATCATCATCATCATCATCATCATTATCAACTCATCAAATTCATCACCGATAACATCATCGATATCACCCTTCACCTGCATGTAGATGTCAAACATCCACACGGCGAGGAATAACATGTCATATGTTCCGGACTCCGCTCGAGGTGCTGGGCTGGAACAGTGGTGGCGCTGGCCGCATGCAGCTGGATAGTGAGGTCCACATAAATTCGCTGACCCTCTTGGCGTGTGCGAGACGCTGTCGTCGTCGTCGTCGTCAACGTCGGCGTCGTCGTCGTCCTCCTCCCTTTCGTCGTCGCCGTCGTCGCTGCTCCCTGCCTTTCCCCAGGCCCTCCTCCTCCAGCGCGCTGGCACCCCTTTCCTTACGGCCCTCCTCTTCGACTGCGCCCTAGCCGAAGGGAAGCGGAGAAACGACGCACTTGAGTCGAAGGGACGCCCCTTCCCAGCTGTGGCGAGGGGTGCCAGGTCAGAAGGCGCTCCCCCCCCCCTCCCTTCTTGAATTCGCGGCGTGAAAAAATCTCGGGTTCGCGAAAGCGCGGCGGCCGGCGGCAGAAAGAGGCCCTGGCGAGCTCCGGGCAACATCCCAGCAGGTCCGGGTGACGGACGACGGAACTCCCAGGCGCGGCCATGGGGGGCCCCAGAGCGCCCCAAGGGAGTCGCGAGTAGGCGCCAAATAGGTGACATGCCCCACGGCCTCTGGCCGAGAACGTTCCAAAATGGCCCAAGTTGGTCTGCAGACGGCCCAAGAAGCGCCCTCGACGCCCAAGGAGGGCTTCAAAAGATGGGCCCAGGGCCCGAAGAGGCACAATTCAGTGATTTTGCTTCGGTTGTTGTAAGATGTTAGCATTACTGCGTTTTCAACCTTCCGACCGCCCATGACGGCCCACCTCACGCCTGAGCTAGAGCGCAGCCATTCCATCTCAGAGTTCCCCACTGTGTTTGTCACGCTCGACCCCACCCTGCAAAAGATTCGCCATCGGCACGACATTGGGGGCCTAGAGGGGGAGGAGAAGATCGTGTGGAGTCGTGGCAGCCCGCGTCTCGACTCGCGCCCCCGTCTAGGGTCCATCTCGTGTGGTGAATATGACTACCTACCAGACCACCCCAACCCAACCCGAAGACCCGAATTTGACCCGAATTTCGGGTTGGGGGGGGTACGGATTCCATGTGTTTTCTCAACGTTCCCCGAACCCCCCCCACTGGAAATCGAGGATAAATTGAGGCCTTCGGGTTGGGTTGGGGTGGTTTGGTGGGTGGTGAGAATAGGCATCTCACGCTCCGGCTTCGGTAGGTTTCAGCAGACCCCCCACTAGGCGTCCTCCTGCAGGCTCTTGGGCGCAGTGCTTTGAAAAAAAGTGTTCGGCGGACCCCCGGCGGGCCCTCGCCGTGTTCAGCGTCGTGAGAAGATGCTGAGATAGAGGAGGAGGAGGAGGAAGAGGAGGAAGAGGAGGAGGAGGAGGAGGAGGAGGAGGAGGAGGAGGAGGACGAGAGCGAAACGCACGCAGAAAGGTATGCTGAGAGCGGACTCGCGCATTGAGACGGTCCATATCCTGGGACACCTCAATATACTTCTTATATAAACTTGCCCCCATGTCCCCACATGGCAATTTCGCTCGGGATGTCATCGACACATCGGCTGCGGAGGCGACTCTGAGTCTCAAAACCTGCCGCTTCGCTCGGGATATCCTCGGCAACTCGGCTTCGGATGGGGACTGGGACAGGTGAGAAAAACAAGCGATCTGCGATCCGAGGCCGTTCGACCCCCCGCGGGACGCCAACAAGGCCCTCAGAAAATGTTGCAACGATGGGTACCGACCCTCGTCGAGGCAATATCCATAACACCCACTGGCTGAAAAATCTGCGCGCAAATTTCCCCCTGAGGGCCCGCCGTGACTCCCGCTATGCGACTCAATCATGTTCGGGTCCATGTGACGCTGTCTCGGCAACTTACGTCCAAGACGGTCCAACAACCCAAGATCGCTCCAAGACGGCCTACGATGCCCCCCAAACGCCACTGAAACCAAATGACGTTCCAAGAGGTCTCCCAGAGGACCCACAAGAGGACCCCACAAAATCAGTGATTACCCTCAAACGTCTCGACGGTTGTTGCGTTCTCGCCCTTCGAGCGTCCGACGCTCCGAGGCGGCCCAGGAAGTCCCCCAGAGGGCCCCAGAGCGGCCCAAGACGGCCCCACAAAGCCCCAAACAGAGCCCAAGATGGCTCCAAGAAAACCAGTTACCCTGTGACGCACCGTGACGTACTGAACCCTTTTCTACACATGTGGCGATTATACTCAGGACCACTCAATGCTGACTGGCATTCTGAAGGACCCGCAGTGCGCAAGAAGAACACCCAACAGTGATTTCAGAAGAGCGCAGCAAGAACAGGAACGGCAACTATACAAAATGGAAGCGCAGGGGCGTTGACAGAAACGCGTGTGACGTACCTCCGAATGATCCACGTGGGACGTACCTCCGCTGGGCCTCCCAGGAGACCACGAAAGTGGCGACAGTTGCACAGATCGCAAGCCCCCCAGGGGCGGCGAGGTCTCGAAGTGATCCGCGTTGGACCCACCTCCGATGGGCCTCCCAGGAGCCCACGAAAGTGGCAACAGTTGCACAGATCGCAAGCCCCCCAGGGCACGGCGAGGTATCGAGATGATCCGCGTGGGACCCACCTCCGCTGGGCCTCCCAGGAGCCCACGAAAGTGGCGACAGTTGCGCAGATCGCAGCCCCCAAGGCACCGCGAGGTCTCGAGGTGATCCGCGTGGGACCCACCTCCGCTGGGCCTCCCAGGAGCCCACGAAAGTGGCGACAATTGCGCAGGTCGCAACCCCCAGGGCACCGCGAGGTATCGAGGTGATCCGCGTGGGACCCACCTCCGCTGGGCCTCCCAGGAGCCCACGAAAGTGGCGACAATTGCGCAGATCGTAGCCCCCAAGGCACGGCGAGGTCCCGATGTGATCCGCGTGGGACCCACCTCCGCTGGGCCTCCCAGGAGCCAACGAAGAGGGCGACAATTGCGCAGATCGCAGCCCCCAGGGCACCGCGAGGTATCGAGGTGATCCGCGTGGGACCCACCTCCGCTGGGCCTCCCAGGAAAGTGGCGACATGTGCGCAGATCGCAGCCCCCGAGCCACCGCGAGGTCCCGAGGTGATCCGCGTGGGACCCACCTCCGCTGGGCCTCCCAGGAGCCCACGAAAATGGCGACAATTGCGCAGATCACAGCCCCCAAAGCACCGCGAGGTCTCGAGGTGATCCGCGTGGGACCCACCTCCGCTGGGCCTCCCAGGAACCCACGAAAAAGGCGACAGTCGTGCAGATCGCAGCCCCCGAGGCACCGCGAGGTCTCGAAGTGATCCGCGTGGGACCCACCTCCGCTGGGCCTCCCTAGAGCCCACGAACATGGCGACAATTGCGCAGATCACAGCCCCCAGGGCACCGCGAGATCTCAAGGTGATCCGCGTGGGACCCACCTCCGCTGGGCCTCCCAGGAACCCAAGACAGTGGCAACGGTTGCACAGATCGCAAGCCCCCGAGGCACCGCGAGGTCCCGAGGTGATCCGCATGGGACCCACCTCCGCTGGGCCTCCCAGGAGCCCACGAAAGTGGCGACAATCGCGCAGATCGCAGCCCCCAGGGCACCGCGAGGTCCCGAGGTGATCCGCGTGGGACCCACCTCCGCTGGGCCTCCCAGGAAGCAAAGAAAGTGGCGACAATTGCGCAGATCGCAGCCCCCGAAGCACAACGAGGTCCCGAGGTGATCCGCGTGGGACCCACCTCCGCTGAGCCTCCTAAAAGCCCACGAAAGTGGCGACAATCGCGCAGATCGCAGCCCCCAAGGCACCGCGAGGTCTCGAGGTGATCCGCGTGGAACGTACCTCCGCTGGGCCTCCCAGGAGCCCACGAAAATGGCGACACTTGCGCAGATCGCAGCCCCCAAAGCACCGCGAAGTCTCGAGGTGATCCGCGTGGGACCCACCTCCGCTGGGCCTCCCAGGAGCCCACGAAAGTGGCGACAGTTGCGCAGATCGCAGAGAGGGGAACACAGGAAACATGAGAGGAGGAGGGGAGGAGGGGAGGAGACGGACGGGGCGGCCACACTGCTCTAATCAAAACGAGTACCCAACCATAGGAGGGTTGAGAAAATTACCCTGTGGCGTACCCAACCCAACCAATTTGTATCAATGGAAAGGAGGAGTTGGCCAAAACTTGTATGGACAATCAACTTTATGTGTACGCTACTTGGGAGGCGCCACGGTGCTGGGCCCCGCAAGCAGGCCCCGAAAGTGGCGACGGTTTCACAGATCGCAGCCCTCCATCCCTCGTGTGGCGTCACTGTGCTGGCCCCCCCAGCAGGCCTCGAAAGTGGCGACAGCTTCACAGATCGCAGCCCACCAGGGATGGCGAGGTCACATTTGAGTCTGCGTGTGGGTACCCACTGTGCTGGGCCCCTCAGCAGCGCTCGAAAGTTGCGACAGTTTCACAGATCGCAGCCCCCAGGGATGGCGAGGTCCAAGCTGAGTCTGCGGTGAGTACCCACTGTGCTGGGCCCCTCAGCAGGCCTCGAAAGTGGCGACGGTTTCACAGATCGCAGCCCCCCAGGGATGGCGAGGTCCAATTTGAGTCCGCGGTGAGTACCCACTGTGCTGTGCCCCTCAGCAGCCCTCGAACGTGGCGACAATTTCACAGATCGCAGCCCCCCAGGGATGGCGAGGTCCCATTTTAGTCTGCCGTGAATACCCACTGTGCTGGGCCCCTCAGCAGCCCTCGAAAGTGGCGACAGCTTCACAGATCGCAGCCCCCCAGCGATGGCGAGGTCCCATGTGAGTCTGCGGTGAGTACCCACTGTGCTGTGCCCCTCAGCAGCCCTCGAAAGTGGCGATAGTTTCACAGATCGCAGCCCCCCAGGGATGGCGGGGTCCCATTTGAGTCTGCGGTGGGTACCCACTGTGCTGGGCCCCCCAGCAGGCCTCGAAAGTGGCGACGGTTTCACAGATCGCAGCCCCCCAGGGATGGTGAGGTCCCATTTGAGTCTGCTGTGAGTACCCACTGTGCTGGGCCCCCCAGCAGGCCTCGAAAGTGGCGACAGCTTCACAGATCGCAGCCCACCAGGGATGGCGAGGTCACATTTGAGTCTGCGGTGGGTACCCACTGTGCTGGGCCCCTCAGCAGCCCTTGAGAGTGGCGACAGTTTCACAGATCGCAGCCCCCCAGGGATGGCGAGGTCCCATTTGAGTCTGCCGTGAGTACCCACTGTGCTGGGCCCCTCAGCAGGCCTCGAAAGTGGCGACAATTTCACAGATCGCAGCCCCCCAAGGATGGCGAGGTCCCATTTGAGTCTGCCGTGAATACCCACTTTGCTGGGCCTCAGCAGCCCTCGAAAGTGGCGACAGTTTCAAAGATCGCAGCCCCCCAGCGATGGCGAGGTCCCATTTGAGTCTGCCGTGAGTACCCACTGTGCTGGGCCCCCCAACAGGCCTCGAAAGTGGCGACAATTTCACAGATCGCAGCCCCCCAGCGATGGCGAGGTCCCATTTGAGTCTGCCGTGAGTACCCACTGTGCTGGGCCCCCCAGCAGGCCTCGAAAGTGGCGACAGTTTCACAGATCGCAGCCCCCCAGCTGGCACGCAGCGACGAGCGAGGCGAAAGGCAGGGGGGAAGAGAGGGACGGGGGGGGCGGTTAGGAAGGAGACGCGCGAGCAGTGCTCTAGTCAAAACGAGAACCCAACGCAGGAGGGTTGGGAAAAAGGATCCCAAACGGGGGAACACCAACCAACATTTCGCGCCTTCGGCCCAAAGAGGCCCAGGGAGGCCCCAAGTGGCGCCCAAGAGGCCCCCAAGAGGCCCACGAGGTCCAAAGAGGCCCAAAGAGGCCCAACAGAGCCTCACAAGCAACCCCCCAGATGGCCACAAGAGGCCAAAACGTCTTCGTCGTCCTCATCCTCCTGCTCCTCCTCCTCCTCCTCCTCCTCCTCCTCCTCCTCCTCCTCCTCCTCCTCCTCCTCCTCGTCGGCGTCGTCGTCGTCGTCGTCGTCGTCGTCGTCGTCGTCTTCGTCATCGCGTCGTCGCGTCGTCGTCGGCGTCGTCGTCCCCCTTTTGGGTCGGCGGCACCAACCGTAAGGCCTTAATAGTGAGATCGACAGGTAGGCACTGGCGCCGGTAGGTAACAAGGTCGATATGGCCTGCGAATCCGATCGGACGCCAATCGAAAACCGAAAGCTGCGCCCATTCCCTCCCCCGACCTCCTTATCACCCGCAGGCTGGTCTACGAGGTATGTGACAGCTGCTTCAGAGCATTGCTCATCAAATATCTGAAAGCGCTTTGACGAGTCCCTCTAGCTATAGTCTGAGAGGTCGTGGGACTGGGTGGGCTAGAGAGGAGCACCGCAGCGCTGGCCAAAGAAGCTGCTCAGACATCCGTGCAGGTGACGAGCAAATTGATGCACTTGGTGAACTCGTCCCTCTTCCTGCCAACAAGACTCAGCTGCAGGTGCCCGAAGGTAGCTGAGTTGTGTCTCTCGGATGAACATGGCTTGACGAGGTGTGAAGCGGGAGTGCACAGATGATCATCACAGCGTCAGCATGAACAGGAACACAACATTACCTCTGGGGCCCTGGTATGCAGTCCAACACCAAAAGAATGGCAGGGTGGACAAAGAGGTGGGAATATGGAGTGCGCCAGGCGGGAGGAGGGGCGGCGGGATCCTCCTCCTCCTCCTCCTCCTCCTCCTCCTCCTCCTCCTCCTCCTCCTCCTCCCCCTCCCCCTCCTCCTCCTCCTCCTCCTCCTCCTCCTCCTCCTCCTCCTCCTCCCCCTCCTCCTCCCTCCTCCTCATCCCCCTCCTCCTCCTCCTCCTCCTCCTCATCCTCCTCCCTCCTCCTCCCCTCCTCCTCCTCCTCCTCCTCCTCCCCTCCCCCCCTCCTCCCCCTCCTCCTCCCTCCTCCTCCTCCTCCTCCTCCTCCTCCTCCACCTCCTCCTCCGCCTCCGCCTCCGCCCTCCTCCTCCTCCTCCTCCTCCTCCTCCTCCTCCTCCTCCTCCTCCTCCCTCCTCCCTCCTCCTCTCGACGACGAGGAGGAGGCGGGACGGAAAAGGGGACAGACGGAGGCGAGAGGATGGGGGAGCGCGCGCGGGAGGGAGGGTGGAAGGGGAGGGTGAAGGAACGAAGACTGGAGGGAGGAGGAGAGGAGAGGAGGAGGACGAGGACGACGAGGAGGAGGGCGAGAGGAGGGCGGAGGAGGAGGAGGATGAGGAGGAGAGGAGGAGGGAGGAGGAGGAGGAGGAGGAGGAGGAGGGGGGGGAGGAGGAGGAGGAGGGGGGATGGGGGGGGACGGCAAGCAGCAGACACGCTGATGCGCTGCGCGGGGCGGCCGCGGCGAGGGCGCCCCACCCCGCCAGGCGGCGGCCCGTAGAGCGCGGACGCCGGCGTCGATGCTCGCCATGTCGAACCACGCTCGTCCACAGAGTGGTGCGAGAAGAATGGAGAGAAAGAACACACAAGCCCGTAGAGTGGTGCAAGAAAATCAGAGAGAGAGAGAGAACACACAACAAAAGAGGGAGAGGCAGACAGAGACAAAGACAGAGACGTACCGCACGCAACCCTTCGAGGGGCCCCGACGATGCCTCCCTTCCATGGGCAGTGCGAAGGCGAAGTAGAGGTGGAGACGGAGGAGGGAGAAGGGACCGAGGGGAGAGAGAGAGAGAGAGAGAAACAGAAAAAACGAGAGAACGAGAGAGTGGGAGAGAGAGAGAGAGAGAGAAAACGAGAGAGAGGGAGAGAGAGAGAGGGAAAGAGAGAGAGAGAGGGAGAGAGAGAGAGAGGGGGAGGGGAAGTGGGAGGAGAGAGGAAGGAGGGAGGGAGAACGAGAAAGGAGGGAGGTAGAGAAGGAGGGGACAACGGGGGGAGGGAGCAGAGAGAGGAGAGAGTGGGTGAGGTGATGGACGACGGGGAAGAGGGACGGGGGAGGAAGGGGAGAGAGAACAGGAACGGGGTCTTGGAGTCAGGAGGGAATAAGTAAAGGGAGGGGGGAGGGGGGGGAGGCAGGCTCTCCCCTTCCTCCTCCCCGTACTCCTTCCAGCCCTCCTCACGCTTCCCCCCTCCCTCCCGCTCCCCCCCGCCGTCTCCCCTCCCTCCCGCCTCCAGGAAGAGGGGGGGACCACACTGGCATACACCATGAGGGGATCATCTCGTATTGGCCCCTCCGCGGCTTGCCATTCAACCCATTCGTTAGGCTCACCGTGCGTGGAATCAACGGTGCGGCCCCTCGCGAATCGGCCTCAGGTCGCTGAAGCGGAAACTGACGCACTCGCCGTTGCTGAGGATCAGGGTGTTACACAGCTGGAGTCGGCGGGCGCTCGCGTGGCGGGGACATCAGAAGGTTGCACGCAGAGGGACCCCGAGAAGAGGCGCAATGGTGGAAACTGTCAATCCATGAGAGGGCCCAATCTGAAGTGGCCTTTGGGACACACAAATAAATACACACAAATAACAGGATTCTCTATATTTCCCTATATTTTCTGGGTTAGTGTCTTCCCCCCCACTTCCCATATGTTCCCATATTTTCCTGGGAGTCGACGATTAATTGTGTCTGTGTGTTTTTCCCTCCTAACAATCGAAGAGGGGGAGAGACGAAGGTGGAGAGGTCGCGGGAGCCACGGGGGAGATGCTGCAGCGGTGGGTTTGGGGGCACGGGGGGGGCACTTTTTTCTACGAAATTGCCGGCTGAACTTCGGCTCGCAGCTTCCCCCGACTCTAACTGAAAGGTCAAACATGTCATAGCAGCATACTCTGCATAATGCACGCTACCATCCACAGTCGAAGAACGATCAATTCTGCATTCAATCAAAACCGCACGGTGGTCGATACATTGACAATTTCCTCTTGGCATCTCAGAAAGGACGGTGCAACATCTAGATTCCAGATAGCTTGGCGGATCGCCACCGGCATCAACCAAGACCACGTACGTCGACGGTGGCGACATGCTGGGGCAGCCCGGCCCTGAGAGTAAACCTTGACTTGGCAGGTACAGGAAAGTACCCAAGCTCTCTAGCAAAGCAGTGACAGGTGCTGCGTGCAATGTGTAAATGTGTATGTGACGCGCCCATGCCTGAATCTCGAAGGATTGATGGGTGACGACGCAGTAGCAGAGCGGAAGCTGGATTTTCGGGGCGCACGGGTAGATGGGCAGGGCGAAGGATGGAGCTAGCGGAAGATCAAATGTGGGGGCTGCTCCCGACCCCACCCAGCTGGGGCTTGGATAGTTCGGCACACAGATTGGCGGCGAATGCGGCTGATGGAAACTTTCGGGCGGTAAGGGAGGGAAGTCAATGCGTCCTCGATCCTTTGAGCTCGAGGCTGAATCCCACCAGCCCTTTAGGGCGTAGGTGGTCTAGTGTGCTTTGTCTTCCACCTGCCCCTCGTCCCCTTCGGGAGAAGGGTTTCTCAATGTTCCTTATTAATCCCCCAGGCGACCGGCGTCCAATCAGGAACCATGAGGACACCATGACGACCCGTCCCCCACCATCCCTGTCAAAGCACCATACATCCGCACTCTGCCTCTACATATGGAGCATGCGCGGCCAAACCGATGCTGCCCCCCCACCATTCCTGTCAAAAAGCAATACACCATACACTTCGGGGCAAAATCGTGAGTCATGTTCGTGAGGCCCGCGAGCACTTTGTATTGGTTTTGACAGGGACGGCGGGGGTGTCAGCATATTCCCTGCTGCGCGCAGGGCTACCATCCGTGACGAAAAACAATACAACATGCACCTCTCGGCTAAATCTGGATCGTGCGCGGCCATCCCGCGATCACTGTCAAATGGTTTTTGACAGGGTCCGCGTGGGTGGTGGCGCGGGGCTGCTGTGCGCAGGCCCACCAGACACAATGATGGGCGTTGGTTGTCGACGAGGATGGTGGGGGCCGACATGTTTCCCGATGTGTGCTGTCACGTGCGCAAGCGCACCTAACGTACTCTGCACGTGCCCCGAACATGGCGCACATGGCGCGGCTGGAGTGTGTGGCACACCTGGCGCACTCGGAGCACGTGGCGCATCTGGCGCAACAGGCGTGCCTGGCACGCTCGGGCCCCAGGGGTGCCTGGCGCGCGTGGCGCCCCTGGCACGCGTGGCGCACCTCGCCCAAGCGTCGCGCACCTGGGGTCGGCTTTGGTTCCCAGTAGCTGCCCATCCAAAGACGACCGCTGAACATGCTCAGGCTCGGGTGTTACTTATGTGTTGGGGGGGCGGGGGGGAGTGGGCTGGACGGCTTGCGGGCGGGTGGGTAAGCTTGATCACTGTGCCCTATTAAGAAACACCCCCTCTCCCACCTGGCCGGCAACCAACCCGCAACCATGCGGCCACCCGCCCCACCATCACTGTCTCAAAAACAATACAAAATGCACATTGCGGGGCCCACCCTGCCAACACCCTCCACAATCCCCGTCAAAATTGCACATTGCAGCAAAATCTGGACAGTGCGCTAGCGCCCTGTGAGCACGTTGTAGATTTTTTGATAGGGATGACGGGGCACCCTTAGTGAAGCCGCTCTGTGCAGGACCACCATCAGTGTCAAAAACAATGCAAAGTACACGCTGTGACAACGTCGTGGGTATTGTGCTGGCCACCCGCGATCACTTTGTACTGTTTTTTGACAGGGACGGCGGTGGTGCCCGCATGATGATGCTTGCTGTTCGCAGGCCCAGAACAATGCTGACGCCCCCCACATCAGCATCTGGACCATGCGGACGGGGGGCATCACGTTTTTGTACAAGGATGGCACACCAACCGCATGTGGAGCCCGCGGCGAGCGTCGCGCACCTGGCGTCCGCTTTGGTTCCCAGTGCTGTCCATCCAGTGGCGACCCGTGGCTATGCCGAGACTCGGATGCCACTTATGTGGTGGGAGGGCGGGTGGGAATGAGCTAGACGGCTTGCGTGCGGAGAGGGTGTCTTGACTCCTCCCCCTACCCCCTACCCTGGATCTGGACGGGCCGTCGCGAGGTGTCAGAGCGTCCAAACCAGCCTCGGCGAAGAAGCCAAGATCATTGGTTTTTACTACGGGTTGGGCTCCATTTTGGCCTCTTGGGGGCAGCCCTAATTGACGCTCCCCTCTTGCTTGTTTGATCGATGTCCTCCAAGATGGCCCACAGATGATCCCCAAGGCCCACAAGGGCGCTCCAAGAGAGCCCCACGAGGTGCCCAGGAGGCCCCAAGAGGCCCCCGAGAGGCCCCCAAGAGGCCCCCAGGATGCCCCCAACAGGCTCCCAAGAGACCCCCAAGAGACCCCAAGAGGCCGCTGCGGCACCCAAGACGCCCCAAGAGGCCTCGAAAGGTTTGTTTGGGCCACATGTTGGCCTCCTGGGCGGGGGCACTGATTAAGATGGTTCCAAGAGCTCCTGGGAAAGCCCAAGATGACCTCCAAAATGGCTCGAGATATCCCAAGATGCCTCAAGATGGCTCCCAAGATGCTTTGAGAGGCACCTAAGACCGCTCCAAGACGGCTCCAGGTGGCCAAAGAGCTGATGTGTTTGGCTTTCTCGCCGTTTCTCTTCCGATGGCCATCCGAGGCCTCAAGATGGCTCCAAGATGGGCCAAGAGGGCCCAAGAGAGGCTCGAGAGAGCCCCAAGGCGGCCCCGAGAGCGCCCAAGAGCGCTCCAAGAGCGCCCCAAGAGCGCCCCAAGATGCGACTGTTGGGGCTCCCGAGGGGCAACGCTAAGCAATGCTCCCCTCTTGTTTGATCGATGTCCTCCAAGATGGCCCCAAGAGCGCTCCCAAGGCTCCCAAGAGGGCCTCAAGAGGGCCTCAAGAAACACCCAGGAGGCCCAGAGAGGAGCCCAAGAGACCCCCAAGAGACTCCCAAGAGACCCCCAGGAGGCCTCCAAGACGCAAGAGAAGCCCAAGAGAGCCTAAAGATGGCCCCAAGAGCGGCCAAGAGTGTCCCAAGAGCACTCCAAGAGGGACCCTCCATCTGCGTGCTGCCCACTTCCCTGATCGAGGCAAATCATCTGGGCATCGTCTCTGGATGGGCTGGTGGGGCTCCTTGTTTGGTCGCGGCCGCAAGCGAAGGCGCAGGCGGCGTCAAGGGTCGTCCCAGGCTACGGGCGGAACCTGAAAGCTGGTGGGGTTACTTTTTAGTCAGCGGCCGCGGGCGAGCGCGCCGGCGTTGAGTCCAGTCAAAGCGGGGCACGCAGCGACGAATTAACCTAAAGCGACGGAGGGTGGCCACACCTACAAAACTGGTGGGGTTACTTTTGTTGTTTTTTCGCGGGCGCAAGCGGAAGCGCAGGCGCCGAGTTGATCTGATCTGGCGGGGTTACGCGAAGCGTCAAGAATGTGTGAGACCGTGTTGCATTGGTAATCCATGTGGTGGCAAAGTGTTGTGGCGGACAACAAGAGAACAATCACACGAAATGAATCACCAATTCACCGACAATGTTCGCTTGTGGTCTCGCGGATAATTGAAACCTAAACCCCGCACACTCCAGCATGCTGAATACAAACCAATGTGTTATGTTTTTTCGTGCATCCCACGATGGCTGCGCGCCAGAGCGCGTCATGCTGGTATATGGTCTATGCTGCCCTGGTCTGACATCCCAACTGTACGTGGAGCGTTGGAGCAAAAAGATGGTCCTGTGGCTCCGGACAGCGCCATCGGCTAAGAAGCAGAAACTGATCGCGCAGCCTGCCACAGGGGGGTACTACTGGGGATTCTGACAGCTCCTAGTCAACCTCCTCCATCTTCGATGCCTCGTCTGCGGCGCCCTCGACTTCCTCGAGAGGGGGCAGGTCCTCGTCGTCCCCCAGGCCCTCGTCGTCATCGTCAATGCTGAGGCCAAGCTTGATCATGCGGTGGATGCGCCCTGCGAACTGAGTGGGCTCGTCCAGGTTGAAGCCAGAGGTAAGCAAGGATGTGTCGAAAAGAAGCCAGATCAAGTCCTTGACCGTCTTGTCCGATTTGTCGGCAGACGCCTTCTTTTTGAGCTCACACATGATGGAGTGCTTAGGGTTGACTTCCATGGTCTTTTTAGACACCATGTAGGAGGTCATAGAATTATCCCTGAGGGCCTGCGCCTTCATAATGCGCTCCATATTGGCGGACCAGCCATATTCCGAGGTTGTCAAAACACAGGGCGAGTCCGCCATGCGCGAACTGACCACCACTTTCTCCACCTTGTCGCCCAGCACCTCCTTCATCAGCTTGGTCAACGGCTCGAACTCCGCCTTCAGCTCCTCGAGCTTCTTCTTCTCGTCCTCGTCCTCGAGGTCCAAGCCTTCCTTGGTCGTCGACTTGAGCTTCTTGCCGTCGAACTCCTTCAGCTGCTGCACGGAGTACTCATCGATGGGATCGGTCATGTACAAAACCTCAAGGCCCTTCTTGCGCAGCGTTTCCAAGAAAGGCGAGGACGACACCGCTGCGATGCTCTCCCCCGTGATGTAGTAAATGTCATTCTGCCCCTCCTTCATGCGGTCCACATACTCCTTCAGACTTATCATCTCATCCCCAGACTTCGATGTGTGGTAGCGCATGAGCTCCGCGACCTTGGTGCGGTTGGTGGAGTCTTCGTGCACGCCAAGCTTGAGGCACTTGCCGAACTGCTCGTAGAACTTCTTGTAATCATCCTTCTTCTCGGCGATCTCCGCGAACATCTCGAGGCACTTCTTGACGAGGTTCTTCTTGATCACTCGCAGAATCTTGTTTTGTTGCAGCGTCTCGCGGGAGATGTTCAGCGGCAGGTCCTCGGAGTCAACCACGCCCTTCACAAAATTGAGCCACTCGGGCATCAGCTCGTCGCAATCATCCATGATAAAGACGCGTCGCACGTACAGCTTGATGTTGTTGCGCTTCTTCTTGGACTCAAAAAGGTCGAAAGGTGCCCGGCGCGGCACGAAGAGCAGCGCTCGGAACTCCAGCTGGCCCTCAACGCTGAAGTGCTTCACGGCCAGGTGGTCCTCCCAGTCGTTGGACAGTGACTTGTAAAACGAGGCGTACTCCTCATTGGTCACGTCCTCGGACTTGCGCATCCACAGCGGCTTGTTCTTGTTAAGCTGCTCCCATTCGTGGGATACCTCCTTGACCTTCTTTGTCTTTTTCTTTTTCTCTTCCTTCTCTTTCTCCTCGTCGACCTCCTCGATCTTCGGCTCATCGCCTTCTTTCTCATCCTTCTTTTCCTCCTCCTCGTCCTCGGAATCCGTAACTTCCTTCTCCTTGGACTTCTCCACGTACAACTCGATGGGGAATCCGATGAACTCCGAGTGCTTCTTGACCAGATCCTTCAGGCGGCGTTCCTCCAGGAATTCGGACTGGTCCTCCTTTAAATAACAAATGATTTTAGTGCCACGCTTGATTTCCCCGTGCACCATCTCTGTGTCCTTCTGCACCGTGAAGGACCCACCAGCCCCGGACTCCCAGATGTACTGCTCGTCGTCGTTGTTCTTGCTGATCACGCGCACCTTGTCCGAGACGAGGTACGCGGAGTAGAAACCCACTCCGAACTGCCCGATCATGGAGATGTCGCCGCCGGCTGCCATTGCCTCCATGAAGGCCTTGGTGCCAGACTTGGCGATGGTGCCGAGGTTATTGATCAATTCGTTCTTGGTCATCCCGATGCCAGAGTCCTCGATCGTGATGGTGGAGTTGGTCTTGTCGGGAACGATCTTGATGTAAAAATTCGGCTGGGCCTCGATCTTGTCAGGATCCGTGATGGACTCGTACCGGATCTTGTCCAAGGCATCTGACGCATTGGAAATGAGCTCGCGCAGGAAGATCTCCTTGTTGGAGTAGAAGGTGTTGATGATCAGGCTCATGAGCTGCTGAATGTCAGCATTGAATGCGAATGTCTCTGCCATGGCTACAGAGAGGGTTCAACGACTAGAGAAGGGACTGAAACAATCTGCGCTGACTTGGGCCAAAATGGCTACGGAATGCAAAAAGTAAATTATAATGAATAGTGTTGCCGCATTCTTGTGCCAGCGGCGAGGTGTACGTGTCCCCGTGGCAAATCATACACCAATGAAATACTTCTCAACTGCTGGTAAACTTGCACTGCACCGCATCCTCGGAAATGCGTGACGCTGAGAAGAAGAGAACGACCCACCAACCACGAAACCACGAGCTCCTGCACGATATCCGACACGCTCGAGATCGGCCACAGCGTCGTCGACACATGATTGTGCCCCTTGCGCGACCGCATCATTGAATGCTCGTTCTGGGGACCTTCCTGGAGCCACTCGCTCCACTCGTGCGTCGAAGCTGCGTCGAACGTCAGTCGATTTGGGTCGACCCTGAGTCGAACCTGAGTCGAACCTGAGTCGAACCGGAGTCGAACCTGAGTCGAACTTGAGTCGAACCTGAGTCGAACAGATCCATTAGGTGGGCCCCAGGAAGGTCACCAAAACGAGCATCGAAAGAAAGGATGCGGAGGAAGACGAAAACCACGAGTGAGCGAGAGCAAAAAAACGACACCGCGCAGCGGGGCCTCGTCCAGGTGCGCCGGCGCCCCCACGCCTGCGTGCCGCGGCGCGGGCCCGGGCGGGGGCTCCACAAAAGAGAAGGAGAGAGAGCCCCCCTCCTCCTCCTCCTCCTCCTCCTCCTCCTCCCCTCCTCCTCCTCCTCCATCTCCTCCTCCTCCTCCTCCTCCCCGTCCTCCTCCTTCCCCGCACCCCGCGCCCATCTGCCCCTTCGTCCCGTTCCTTGGGCGCCCGAGTTATCCGGGGTAACTCGGGTCCGGGGTAACTCGGGTTTGGATTCCCTAAAAAGGAACCCGAGTTAGCCCTGACCCGACTTACCCCTGATGACGTGGGGCTCTGGACGCCCGAATTATCCGGGGTAGCTTGGGTCCGGGGTAAGTAACTCGGGTTCGGATTCCCGAAAAACGAACCCGAGTTAACCCTGACCCGAGTTACCCCGGATGATTCGGGGCTATGATTTCCCTCGATGAGGCGGTGGCGGGCGGAGAGGCTGCGGAGGATCGGGTTGCAAGGGCGTGCGTCCCTTTGGCTGCTCCTCGCGGCAGTCGGCTCCAGAGAGGGGCGGCGGGCAGCCTCCGCGGACGCTGCCGACCATCTGCCCGGCACATGCGCTCATTCCCACAGCACGGAGTTTGCACGTGGTGCTTCTCCCTTCCCTTCCGAGCGTCGTGGAACCGATCCCCATCCCCGGCGGCGTGGCCTGGGCCCCGCTGGCCGATCTGCCCACCCCCCAGAGGGGGATGCAGGCCGCTCCCTTCGGGCTTCGAGGGGCGAATCCCCAGCTGGGGCGGCGGTTTGGTGGGGGTCTCGAGGGGGATGGGGATGGGGATGGGGATCGGATAAACGATACCGATTTCTTGGATCTGCGCTGGACCCCCCTCCCTGGCGCGCGGAGCGCGCCCCACGCGGAGAGCGCGCCATGGGGGCGGCGCTGGAGGCGCCGCCGGGGGGCCCAGCGCGGATCCAAGAAGTCCGCGCGAAGCGCCAAAAAGTTACATGTCTATGGCGCCTCTTCTTCGTCCACCGAGACGGCCCAAGAGTGCCAAAAGTTGATGTGCATGGCGATGCTCCCTCTTCGACTCGACGGGGGGTCTCGAAAGGGGATGGGAGGAGGAGGAAGAGGAAGAGGAGGAGGAGGAGGAGGAGGAGGAGGAGGAGGAGGAGGAGGAGGAGAGAGGCTATACCGACCTTCCGAGGAGCCGGGCCCGCGGGCCGCTCCGGGGCCGCCGTGGGCCCGTCGCCGCCGCCCCACCCCGGGGCGGCGCACGGGTGCCGCTTGAGGCACACGTGCGCCGCCGCCGCTGCTGCTGCTGCTGCTGCTCTCTCCCGTCCTCTCTTCCTCCTCTTCCTCTTCTTCTTCCTCATCCTCCTCCTCCTCCTCCTCCTCCTCCTCCACCTCCTCCTCCTCCTCCTCCTCCTCCTCCTCCTCCTCCTCCTCCGCCCCCTTCTCCTCCTCCGCCACCTTCTCCTGGCCGCGGGGCGACCTCTCGCGCAGGCAATAAAAGTGCCGCTCGAGGGGCAACGGCAGGGGGGGGCTGGCACGGGGGTTGAGCAGGGGCCGACCGTCCCGGCATTCCTGAAGGCCTACCACGAAGTGTTCTTAGAACCCAGAAATGTTCTACGAACAGAAACAATGTTCTTGGAACATAAGCCCGATGTGAGAAAGCACGACAGTCCCGACCAGGAATGTTCCAAGCACACTTCGTGGAAAAAAAGGCTCTTAGAACATTGCTTGCTAGGCCTAGAGGCACGCCAGGACGCTTCGCCACTACTTGCAGGGGGGGATGCATCGACCTGGAATCGGCGGCCCATCGCCGCTAGACTGGCGATTGGCTCCCGGTAGTGAATCCGTCCCTTCCTGTGCAGGTTGGGACTATCGAGCCCCCATCGGCGATCAGTGGGCGAGGGGGGGTCGATGCGTGCCCGCCTATGCCCTATCCCCCCTACCCATCGGTCGGAGGAAGTAGGTAGAAACATGAAGTAGGAATGCGTTGAAGCAGATTGGGCTTCCGCCCGCCTCCTGAAGAGGAGGGAAGAGTTAAAACCACTCGACTCTTGAAGTCGGAAGGCGCCTAACATAGATTCAAAACAACCTACTTTCAACGACCGATGGGTATCGTTGCCCCCGACCGCTCCTGTCGGCCACCGCACCGGCGCCGCACCCGGGAGACCGCCGCACGCACAGACGCCGTTGAAGGCCACTCTGCGCTTGAGCTACTGTATCTTCGCCTCCGTGCTCAGAGGCCTTCCTGGCCACCCGGCTCTGCGGGTGACGGGGTCTATCGGAACGGCTATCCTGTCACGCCATGGCCGCCAGATGTGGCAATTCCAGCAGGAGCGATGCGCGGGGCGGGGGTGTCGACGGCTTACAAAATGATCGTGTGCGACTGCGCACCCAAGTGGGAACAGATAGCCCATGCGGGGTCTTCCCGGGGCAAATGAAAAACAGCGACCTCGGCCCTGACATGCAGGAGCGCCGCATGATGCTCAAAGTGATCAGGCGTACAGCACTCTGGCCATGCAGGCCAAACATCCAGCACAATGAATCGACTCCTACGTCGAGACGTTGGCTTTGAGACCGTGGAGAACCTGATGGCAGGCGCTGGTGCCGTTGTACAGACCGCGGTCGCAAAAGCCACCAAATTGGTGTCCAAGGCGCCGGGGCGACGTAGATGCCGTGTGCATTGAAGTTTGTGGAGATATATGTCATCATCATGGTCAGCATCAGCATTGCCAGCGTCATCACCATCAGCGTCATCAGCATCAGCATCAGCATCATCATCATCATCATCATCATCATCATCATCATCATCATGGCCATCACCATCACCATCACCATCACCATCACCATCATCAGCATCAGCATCAGCATCAGCTTCATCATCTTTGTCATCATCATCAATATCATCACCATCACCATCATCATCGTCATCAGCAGCATCATCAGCAATATCTTTATGATTAGCACCACCACAATCACAACAACCACCATCATCAGTAGCATCAGCATCACGATAGCGATCATCGTCATCATCATCATAATCATCATCATCATCATCATCTTCATCGTCATCATCGTCATCGTCATCATCATAATCACTGTCACCATCCCCATCATCATCAACAGCATCACCAGAACCAGCATCATCATCAGCATCATCAGTATCGTCATTCAAAATAACATCACCATCAGCACCAGCATCAGCATCATCGTTATAATCATACTCATCATCATTATATTCCTCCTCCTCATTGTCATCATTGGTATCATCACCAGCAGCATCATCATCGTCAGCAGCAGCATCAGCATCAGCATCAGCATCAGCATCGTCATCGTCATCGTCGTCGTCATCATCATCACCATCAGCATCCTTCATCGTCGTCGTCGTAGTCGTAGCATAGTCGGTAGTGGTGGTCGTACTCATCATCATCGTCATCATCGCCAGCACCACGTTCACCTTCTGCCCATCACCACACCAGGGGGACCACGCCTCTCGATGCACAGCCGCCGCCTCAGAAGTGTCACCCCTGTCGACCACCCCCAATCGCCATTGACCACTCCGCCGTCATCATCCAGCATGTTCCTTAATCAGCCAACCTCAGCCGCTTCCTTGCTCGAGTGAGGAGAATGCTGCCATTCAAACTGTAATGATGTTACCCATGTGTGTCGATTACATCGCCAGAGATAGCTTCTCGTGCAGCGGCTCCCTTGACAAGACGTCCAAGGACCCATCAACGCTCCATCACTCCATGGCCCACCATCATATCGGTATCAGAGCGTCTTGCTGGAATCATTTGGGCTCCGCAGGCCTCCAGGGGGCGGGGGGGGGGCACCACCGCTTTCATCAACCACCAATCAGGAAACTTCGAACGCCTGCTGTTAACAGATCCTCAGGTCCTGCCCCTGGTACGGCTGACAATATCCACCCCAACTCTTCCTTTGCGGGGGGCACTGACGGTGCAGGGCTTACGCTCATTCCCCCCCCCATCCTCCTCCTTCTCCTCCTGCGCCTCCTCCTTTTCCTCCTCCTCCTCCTCCTCCTCGTCCTCCTTCCATTCCTCATCCTCCACCTCCTCCTCCTCCTCCTCCTCCTGTTCCTCCCCCTCCCAAGCATCATCAGCATCATCATCATCAGCAGCATCATCATCATCATCATCACCACCACCACCACCACCGCCATCATCAATATCATCATCATCAGTATCACCATCAGCATCAACATCATCATCAGCATCATCATCGATCAGCATCATCATCATCATCGTCATCATCATCGTCATCGTCATCATCATCAGCAACATCATCATCAGCATCATCATCAAGCATCATCGTCATCGTCATCAGCATCATCATCATCAACACCATCATCACCATAACCATCATCACCATCATCGTCGTCGCGTCGTCGTCATCGTCATCGGCATCGTCATCATCACCCCCACCATTATCGACATCATCATCATAATCATCAGCATCATCATGATCATGATCATCATCAGCAGCAGCATCATCATCGGCATCATAGTCGTCGTCATCAGCATCATCATTATCATCATCACCATCATCACCATCACCATCCTCATCCTCATCATCATCACCATCGTCATCACCATCAGCAGCATGGGCATCAGCGTCAGCATCACCATCAGCAGCATCATCTGCGTCATTATCGTCATCGGTCCTCACCCTCCTCATCCCTCCAACACATCCTTCCTCACCACACTCCAATCCTTTAATCAGGAAGGGGGATTGAGGAACAGGAGGAAGGAAAACGAAGAGGAGGGAGACAGAGAAGGAGGAGGCGGGAGGAGAAGGAGGAAGGAGGTGAAGAAGAAAGGAGGAGGATTAAGGACGGAGGAGGAGAGAGGAGCAGAGACAGGGTGGAGGACTCCAGGAGAAACGAGGAGGAGGATGACGAGGAGAGACGAGGAGGAGGAAAGAGGAGGAGGGGGAGGGGTCAGAGGCAAGCTAGGTGCGCTCGCGTCATATCTGACGTCCTACCCCTCCCTCCCATCCCTTACCATGGCGCTGATTTTCTCTATCCGCGGACGCGTGTCGTAGCGGACCTGTGGCTCCGCGCGCGCGTGCGTAGTGGGTGGTGGTGCACGTGCGTGCGTGCGTGCGTGCGTGTGTGCGTGGTTGTGGTGGTGGTGGTGGTGGTGGTGGTGGTGGTGGTGGTGGTGGTGGTGGTGGTGCTGGTGCTGTGCTGGTGGTGGTGCTGGTGCTGGTGGTGGTTGTGATGGTGGTGGTGGTGGTGGTGGTGGTGGTGGTGGTGGTGGTGGTGGTGGTGGTGGTGGTGGTGGTGGTGGTGGTGGTGGTGGTGGTGGGTGGTGGTGGTGGTGGTGCGGCGGCGCGGTGGTGGCGGGCGGATGGGCGCGCGAGAAAGAGGCCCGCGCTGGGGCGAGAACGCCATCCTGAACGACGGAGGCCAAACACCGATCCGAAAATGAGGCCCACGCTGCAGCGGGAGCACGATTCGGAACGATTCGGGAGCAGAAATGAGGCCGGCGCCTCAGCGAGAGCATCATTTTGAAAAAAAACGCAGGCGAAAACCCGTTTCCCGGGAATCCTGTGTGTAAAAAAACAATACGCGGGGGGCGTTCGGCCCGAAAATGACGCCGGCGCCTCAGCGAGAGTCGTTTCCCGGGATTTCCCGGGCATCCTGTGTGTAAAAAAACAGTACGCGGAGAATGCGCGGCCATCACCCGGACGCCATCAGGGGAAGAGGGAGAGCATTTTCATATTGAGTAATTGTAGAGCTGAGTAGAGACGCGGAGAGACGAGAACCCAGGGATCCGACGTCGTGATTTTTTGACGGGTCCTGGGAAGTCTCGACCCGTTCCCCAGGACCGGTTTCGTCCTGGATAGCTTTTTGGCGGTCCCGGGGCCCGGCGAGGGCCCCTGTAGGGGCCGAAATTCTCGAAAAACCTCCGTCCTGACTTGTTCAACACGTTGGATCACTGTGGAGGGCGCCCTCGCCCTCGTCCTGCGCAAAGGGGGTTTGAGCAGGGACCGACCGTCCCGGCATCCTATAGGCCTAACACGACATGTTCTAAGAACCGGAAAACGGTTCAAGAACAAAAACAATCAAAATTGTCTTAGAACGTAAACCCGATGTGTTAAAACAAGACAGGCTCCGCCAGAAATGTTCTGAGAACATGTCGTGGAAACCGCAAAAGGCTCTTAGAACATTCTTCGGTGGGCCGACGTTCTGATTTTTCAGGACGGCGTCCCCGAAGTCCCGACCTTTCCCCGGGACCGGTTTTTCATCCTGAGTCGTTGTTTGACGATCCCGAGGCCCGGCGAAGGCCTCCAGCGCCCGAAAGCGGCGAGAAACCTCCGTCCTGCATGTTTTACGACGCGAGCACGTCTGGGAGGCGAGCCAGGACGCGTCGCCACTGCTTGAGGGGGGGGCGCGCACTTAGTGGGCCCTGGAAACGACAAGGCCGTTTTTTTTCTGGTTCCGTTTTGCCATTTTTGTTGCCGGTTCCGACGCCGCTTTTTACCGGTTCCGTCGCCGTTTTTTGACCGGTTTCGGCTCCAAATCCAATCCTGGAGCCGTTTTTTTGCCGTTTCCGGTCGCCGCTTTTTTTTGCCGCTTCCACCTTCAAGGGACATTTTTTTTTGAAACGGTGAAAAAACGGGCCTTCCGTTTCCGGGGCCCACAAAGGGCGCGCAGGCGGGGGAGGAACCGCGGCTGGCCTGCGGCAAGGGGGCCGGGGCAGGCCCGCTTCACGGTCCTCTCGCGGGAGGGTCGGCCGAGGAGGGGCGCGCCTTGGGGCGGAGCGCGACGGGGACGGCGCGAGGAGGGAGGAGGGAGGAGGAGGAGGAGGAGGAGGAGGAGGAGGAGGAGGAGGAGGAGGGAGGAGGAGGAGGAGGAGGAGGAGGAAGCAGGAGGAGGAGAGAGGAGGAGGAGACGGTGGAGGAGGACGAGGAGCAGGAGGAGGGGGGGGAGTGGCCTCAGGGATCCTGGCGAGAGGAGCGGCGAGGGGCGACGGGCGAGTGGGCGGCTGGGGGCGCCCTGGGTGTGCGTCGCCGCCTGCCAGCTGCAACTGCTCCTAATGAGCCTCCTCCTACATCCTCGTCCACCCTCATCCTCGTCCTCCAGCCTCCTCTTTCTCCAAGGCCACCACAACCACCACCATCATCATCACCTCAAAATCCTCATCATCATCATATCATCATCATCGTCATCATCATCATCATCAACATCATCAGCATCATCACCACCACCATCACCACCATCATCACCATAACCCGGAGAAGCAATTAAGGAACCCCCCGGCGTTATCATTAGCACCGCGCCGTAATTAAATAATTATTTGGGGGGTTTTCGCCGAGCGATATTATTAGCACCGCGCAAATGGAAGGAAAATAAATAATTCCAGCGCCCCGCCTCGGGTGGCATCCCAATTAGAATTGTAATGAGAATAAGAATACGAATACGAATAAGGTGTACCCCCTCCTGGTGCCAGGATAACGCTTCCGGGTGCCGGGTGCGTTATCCTTTCACCGGAGAGGGGGGGGGGTTCCTTAATCGCTTACTCGGGTTAATCAGCATCATCAGCATCATCAGTATCATAAGCATCATCATCATCCTCCTCATCATCATAATCATCATCATCATCATCATCATCATCATCATCATCATCATCATCATCATCATCATCATCATCATCATCATCATCATCATCATCATCATCATCATCGCTACCATCATCACCATAAGCACCATCATCATCATCATCATCATCAGCAGCAGCATTGTCATCATTAGCAGCATCATCACCACCACCACCAAACATCATCATCATCATCATCATCATCATCATCATCAGCATCACCATCAGCATCAGCATCACCATCATCACCATCACAATCACCATCAGCATCATTATCAGCATCATCATCAGCAGCAGCATCATCATCAGCATCATCATTTGCATCATCATCAGCATCATCATCATCATCATTATCATCAACATCATCATCACCATCATCACCATCATCACAATTATCATCATCATCATTATCAGCATCATCATCATCATCATCACCATCATCATCATCACCATCACCATCACCATCACCATCACCATCACCATCATCATCATCATCATCATCATCATCATCATCATCATCATCATCATCATCATCCCATCATCAGCATCACCATCATCCTCATCTACCCTCATCCTCGTCCTCCCTCTTCCCGTCGCGCCTGTTTCGCGACGCGACCATGTCTGGGTCTTGCT